AGTAGGTCAACCCTACATAGTAGGGTCAATGGTCTTACCTTAAGTTATGGCTGTTTTCTGTGGAAACGGCCTCATTTGTGTAGAGGGTTTGGAATGCAAATGCTTACCTCTGCAATTAAGTCGCCATTTTCTGCATGGACCTGAGCAATTGCTCCAATTTCCTTGCACTGAGAGAAGGCTGCATACAGCTCCGCGTCTCTCACCATGTACACATCTTTATAGGCCATAAACATCTTGAAAGAGTTAACGCCTTTATCTTGGGCAAGGATTTTCATTTCTTCTTTAACCTAAAAGGGAACAACAACAAGAAGTCACTCTAAGTTAAAAGATAATTTCAACATTCTCCAAAATGTTGCATCAGAAGAAGACTAGGAAATATAAGAACAACAGTTCAGCTACAGAAAAATGCAAGTAAGTCCTTGATCTTTCTCTCAGGTTATACCCCACTCATTTGATAAATTGCTGCTGCTATGATACCTTTTGAGACAGACTCTTGCTATGTTGCCCAGGCTGATCTCAAAATCCTGGGCCCAAGCAATTCTCCTGCCTCGGCCTCCTGAGCAGCTGGGGCTACAGGTGTGCACCACCACGCCCATGCCTGGCTGCTATGATACTTTTAAATCATGAAAAAGTTAATCGCTTCCCCCAAAGTGCTTCATTTCTGCACTTGGATATGAAATTCTCTACATCTACCTCCCAATTTGAGGAAATTATTCTAGAAAATGAGGGCAAAGCTATGTGGCAGCAACAGAAGCAACCATGGATCTAGAAGGAAGCATAGTTACTGTGAGGCAAGATTTCAGGCTCAACTCTGAAAGCAACAGGAAGAGTTCTTAGAAGGAGGAAGTGCAATGTGTGAGCTGACCCAGGCGTGCCTGAGGAAGTATTATACAAGCTCAGCGTCTGGCTGTAGAGCCATGGCAGGCACGTGCCCCTTTGGCAGCTCCCAGGAGGTGAGAGCTGGCTGCTCACACCACCTGGACCAGTGGGAAGCTTGGGGTCCTTCGGGGTTGCCAAGGGTAAGGGGCAAGTCAAGATCAAAGCCAACTCAGTAATTGCCCTTGTAGGTCCAATTCAAGTCTCAATAAGAATTAAAAATTTCAAAGGAAAAATCAGTAGATTTGATCAAATAAAACTATTTGAACTTCTATATGTTAAAACACACACACACAAGTAACAAAAAAGATAACAAGCATAGGATTATTGCTCTTATTAATAGTTGATAAAAGCTCTATCAACTTGGTAAGAAAAACCCTAACAGTGCAGGTGAAAAATGTTGCCAACAATTCATGGAGTAAACACAAATGACTAATAAACATATGCAAAAACATGTTAACCTTCCTACTAATTAAAAAGTGCAAAGGCTGGGGGCAGTGGCACACTCCTGTAATCCCAGCACCTTGGGAGGCCAAGATGGGAAGATCTCTTATGCTCAGGAGTTCAAAGTTTGAGGGTGCAGTGAGCTATGATCGTGCCACTGCACTCTAGCCTGGGCAACTGAGGGAGACCCAGTCTCAAAAAAAAAAAAAAAAGTGCAAAATAAAGCAATGTAATTTTTTTCTGTTGAATCAACAAAGTTTAAAAATGATAATATTAAATATTACCTTTGAAGTTACTCATTTCCATCACTATTTATTTCCTTACTAATTTTCCTGACTCTTCTTGATGCTGTTTTATCACCTGGCATATTATGTATTTATTTGCTGATCCCCTGTCTGCCCCAGTGGGAGTTCAAATGCATGAGAGATAGAGCTGTGTAAGGTTTGTCCACCATCATATCCTAGAACAGTGCCTGGTACACAGTGGCCACTCAATAACTATGTGCTGAATGGATGAATGAATTAATTACTAATTAATTAATTAATATAGAAAAAGGAATGGAAAAAGCTCCAAAATTTTGAGGGGACAAGTGATGAGATGAGCTCCAAGATAAGTTAAGCGACAATAGCAAGGAGCAGAACATGGTATAGTGCACCTCATTTTTTTCCTCTAGTTTCAAATGTTCTACAATGAGTGTATTATTTTGATAGTCAGAAAAAAACTGCTTTAAATGTTGTTTGCATATATACATCATGGACTTCCAAAAGAAATTATTAAATATGATCTATATTGCTTACATGAAATATCTTTTACTCCCTGGGTAGAAGAGTCTTTTCGGAAGGTGACCTCATTAATCATCCCTTTCATTTTTGGAGAAAAATTAACTTAAGCTGTGGACTATAAACCTTGCTATTATGTTTGCTGCACTATCTGTGAAAGACTGATTACTTGTTGTATATTAACTTGGTGCGTAGAGCCCTGCAATAGTGTAGGAAGATTACCCTGTCAGGATACAGCTGGGAGAACACTCAGGAAAGAGTCCCGGACCGATCCTTCCTCTCTCAAGACGGGTCAGAGTGGGAATGGACGCATCTGGTTTTAGAGAATTCTAAATTTAGAATTTCCTTGATTTTTCCCCAGAAATTAAACATTTCTAATTGAAGTTCTAATCTGTTGGAAAACACTGTTTAAAAGATTCTGAGGATGTTGAAGTTGAGAAAAAGAGAGATAAGTACTTTTAAAATTACATTTAAAGCATTTAGAATTCATAGATTAAATATTAGGAGAAGCTAATATTTGTTGTGAATGAGCGTAAAAGATTTATCCTGTCGTCTTTTTAGTTTTAAAAATTTTAGTTAATAATACTTCACGGTATTTAAAATTCAAAAGGTACCAAAGAACATACGATGAAAAGTCTTCCCTCCAGTTCTGTCCTCCCGTCCTCCAGGAAGCAACCAACACCACCAGTGTCTTGCTCTTGTACAGAGCCAAGACAAGGGGACAAACGGAACAAATTGGAACCCAGGTGTGTTACCTGGTCACTCCACCAGGTCACCGCCACGTGAAGGCTGTAGTCGCAGCAGACTTGCGGATCCGCCCAGCCCCTCCAGGTCTCAAAGGCCTCGATGAGGGATTGGCCTTTCTGAGGAATGGCGAAATCAAGGATCATGGTGGTGCCTCCTGCCAGAGCAGCCTGGAATCACAAGAGGGATTCGACAAGTTGTCAGCGTTCTAGTGGAGTCATTATCCCTTTGAACAATGTGCATTTGCAAGCACTTGGGCAAACGTGATGCGCCAGGGAATTGCACAGATGCTGCCTGTTTAAATGACCCAGAGAGACATGAATAGGCTTTCTATAAATTAAAGTTTGGAGTATTAAAACTGCTAGAATTGCTTCTGCAAAAAGAATGCTGTATCTGATAAGATGAAAATGGCTTTGACCTAAAGAAAACAGAGTGAAGACTGTAAAGAAAATCCAACATAGAAAAGTGAAAAAGATTCAAACATTTTTCTTCTCAAGAAATTATTTTCATTATCATAAGATTCCAATTTATTAGGATCCATCCTGGTAAATTGTACCTGCAACTGCCCTGTGATCCATGCAGAATCCTGGGAGACTTACACAGTTCCTGCCCTGTCTTCATCCTCTGCGACCAACTGATGACTCCTTCATTCCTCTCTGTGTCACATCTGTGCTCTCCCTACTTCCCTTGCCCTGGCCATCTCTCACCTTGGCCACCGTAACACAGTCTTGATTGGTCATCGTCTCCCACCCCCTCCAACACAAACCCCTCATGGCAATGAAAGGGATATTTCCAAAGCACAAAGCAACTCCAAAGATGAAAGCTCATGCTTTTCACTGCCTCTGCAGTAAAGTTCAATCTCCTTTACATGGTCTGTATGTCCCTGCATTCTGCCTCAACTCTCAATATACTCATTAGTGTATTATTATGTATTACATTACATCATGACTAAATTAAAGACTGTTACTAAATCAAATGCCTTTGACTAATTATTTAAATTGATTTCGCTTGAACTAAAATCACAAGGATCACAAGGTAGTTAATATGCTTTTTTTTTTTTAAGAAGAGATAGGGTCTCACTCTGTTGCCCAGGCTGGAGTGCAGTGGCCTAGGCATAGCTCACTGTAACTTCAAACTCCTGGGTTCAAGCGATGCTCCCACTTTAGCCTCCCAAGTAGCTGGTACTACTGGCACACACCACTATGATGGGCTAATTTTTCTTATTTTTTGTAGAGACACGGTCTCACTGTGTTGCCAGGCTGAACTCCTGGCTTCATGTGATCCTCCTGCCTCAGCTGACCAAACTGCTGGAATTACAGGTGTGAGCTACCGAGCCCAGCCATTGATATGCCATTAATTGTTATATTCAAACAATGTAGGTAAAGAAAACAAACATCGTCGAGGAGGGATGAAGCACAGTGGTTTAGGGCAGGGACCCAGTAGGCTCACTGGTACCTGGGCAAAAAGCTCAGATTCAATACTTATTAGCTGTGGTAATCCGAGTCATTTCTTAATCTCTATGTGGCTTCGATTCCTCCTCTGCAAAGTGAGGACAATCATTGCACCTAAACCATAGGCTTGTTAGGAGGCACTAAGCAGATGTACAGAGTTTGACCCGTAAGTGCCTTATAAGCTTCAGCACCACTGTTTTGGGATTCGGAATTTTTCCACCTTTCCTGCATCATCTCATCTCATCATCAGAAAGGTGGCTGTCACAACACAGGAGGGAGCAGGGCCACCAGCCTCTCTCCCAGGTCCCCAGCACCCTCCCCACACAGCCTTCCAGATACACCGAGTGCTCCACATCCTACCTGGCATACTAGCTCTATTCTACCTCCTTCTTCTGGCTTAATTCAATAGATTTTTATGTTTCCTTAAGTCACTTGGCCTCACTCCAGATCTTTTTACTCTTGAAAATTTCACTTTTTGTACAGGCTCCTGTACATTGTTTCCACCTTTAAATAGCACTGCCTCATCCACGGCAAAACAATACATATTT